CAGGATCATCATCAGGATCAGCAACTCTAACCCACTGACCAGTAGTTAGACTAGTACCAGGTAACACACATGATATAGCTCCAGTAATTGCTTTGACTCTAATATCCCAAAAATATGATCCATTAGGATAACAGTTTCTATTATATGCTAAATAAATACCTATGTAATGATGCATAATAAATTTTATTAAAAATACAAATACTTTCATGTTGACAATGAGTGAAGACACTGATTGCACTACTAGCAGGTCCCAGTAATTGTTGATAGGCTCTGACTGTGATGCTATAAGCTGTTTCTACCCTCAATCCATTCAGTGTGATTGTATTATTACTACTTCCCTCCACCTGTACTGTCTGCACAGTGTCTGTGTCACTAGTGACATTGACTACATATCCATCAGCATCAGATGAATCAAGTGCAGTCCAATTGACAGTGATAGTGGTAGTTGTCTTATTGACCTCAGTAAGAGAAGTGGGAGCAGTTGCTGGAACTGAAAATATATAGTACATTAAAAATTAACTGCCATGTATAAAATTTGCTACCTTTTACAGTTGCATTACGTATTCTATCAGCACCATCATTAATATTATCCAGTACACACTGATACATTTGATCTCCAGTGATTGATTGACTGATTGATCCACTACTGACATTCATTCCCTCCCATGTGATATCAACAGTATATCTTACTGTGTTGGTACTACTAACCAACATGGTACCAGTACAAGGATTACTACCTCCATCTTCACAACCAGTGTGACTAGCCAGTGCAGTACTACCAATGCTCATACTAATATCATAGCGATTGTGTCCAATTTTCACACAATTCAGTTTGTATTCCTGAGGATATACTGTCATATCAGAAGGAAGGTCAGCAGTAAATGATTCTATCTCTGCAAATCCTACAAATAAAAATTTATTACATCAGTAAGTGATTATAGTTTCCTCTTACTGAATATATTAGCAAAGATGATGTTAGTGTTAGGATCTGATTCACAATCAGTGGGTAGACAACACTTGTACCAGCCTTCTGTAGTTGCTGTTAGTCCCTGAGTACGATAAAGATTGATAGTAGCATTAGGTGAAGTGACAGAAGTACAACGAAAAGGATCATTGTTAGTATTGTCACAGTCAACAGGATCATCAGGATCAGCAACTCTAACCCACTGACCAGTAGTTAGACTAGTACCAGGTAACACACATGATATAGCTTCAGTAACTGCATCAACAGTGGTATCCCAAAAATATGATCCATTGGAATAACAGTTTTCATCATGCATCAGGTAGATACCTATAAAAACCTATACAGTTGTTATTATACACATCCAGTGTCTTACCTGAGGAAGGTGGACATTGACTAATAACTTCACTGACACTCAACAAGAAGACAAGAGTCAACAGAAGTAGCATTTCAAATTACTTGATAACCTAGGCTATACCACTGCTATACCTAACCTAAATAGTCTTGTAATACTTTTATTTAACTGTGCCACAGAGTATGATACAAATTAAAAAGTATTCAATTAGCAGGAAGTCAACAAAGCAAAAATTATAAATCTTATAGTGTTTTTGTTGTGCTATAGCTAGAGTTATGTGCTATGACTTTGTAACATATCAAAACAATGAAAGTTGAGAATTTACAAGCACATTAGAAGAATGCAAACTTTACACAATAGTAACACAAACCATTTCCATTGTTTACATGAACTGAAAATAGTAACAATTAATAAATATTAAAAACAATTTCAATGCACACCAATAAC